ACAGTGTCCGGACAGATCGCGGCAGGCCACGCAGAGCTGCGGTCGCACCGCTCCAGCGGGATGGTGGCCGGGGCCAGGCGGGGCAGGAGAGTGTCCCAAGGCGGGGGGTGCGAGGACAAGGGCACGGCGTAGTGCCCACCCGACGTGGCCCTGCTGTGAGGCTGTGCAGGCTGCCAAGGAGGCAGCGTGTCCTCAGGAGTGCACGGGGGCAGGGTCAGGGCGGTGGCACTGAGGGTGGGGCTTTGGAGGCAGCCCCAGCCACCAGAACAGCACTTACTTGGAGTGGAGCCCATCCTTGCCATAGGGCTGCAGCAGGTACTGGTGAACAATCTTATCCCGCAGCGTCCCTGCCAGCTTGATTTTCTTCCGGGAGCGATGCAGGTTGATGATGTAAAGGGTGATGGACCCCCGGACATAGTTATGGCTGCAAAGGGGAGAGCAGAAGCTGAGGAATGTACCCCAGGAGCATTACCTTTGAGAAGTGGTTTGGAGGTCCCTGCAAGAACCAGCTTCGTGCAGCCATCCTCTGGGATGGAGGAGGGAACATGACCATCCTGGCTGCCCCTCCACAGGGAGATGCTGCCTCCCGACCACAAAACAAAGCCCCGTTCTGCTGTGACACCTTCCTGATCTCCCTCTCCCTTCGTCAGCCTGGGGTGGCACAGCTCAAAGGGGTGCCACGCTGGTGTCTGGAGCTGGGTGGTGGTCACCCGGCAGCCCCCCCAAAGCCTTGCAAGTAGGAGGCTGAGAATGGAGGAGAGTTCTGTGCATGAGTGGCGTCTGCCCCCAGCGCCCCGGGCACCTAACTGACAGGTCCAGACACTGATCCTCTGTCCCTGCCTAATCAGGCAGCCCCAAACAAAGGCTATAAAGCACTTTGCACCTGTCAGTTACTGGACAAGGTTTCCTACCGAGCTGGAGGCATGTTGAAAGCATCTGGACTGTGTAAAGAAACAGCCTCTCCTCCTCCACAATAGCAACTTGTGTCTGCGGAGGAGGTGGACGCCCCCCCCGGCTCACTGGGGTGCTTTCAAAGACCTTATCAGCGAAACAATAACCAGGACGGGCTCCCCAGCAGCGCGGCCCATCGGGTAACCCGACCGACCAGGGGCCCCTCCTGTGAAATCCACTCCCTTGATCTCTGCTGCCGGGGCTGCCTGCCGGCCACCGCGCCGGCCCCGGCCAGTCCCGTTCCCAGGCGTGCTCTTGCCATGACTTTCATCAGAGGCATCTCCACTGCTGCAGGAGTCAGAGCAGCACCCAAGTGTGTCCCCTGGGAAGCCAACCTTCCCTGCTGGAGCCAAGCCCTGGGCTCCTGCCCCAGCATGTTCTCAGTGTTCCCCATCCCCAGGACCCCTGCGGGTTCCACTTATCCCACCACTGCAGCCCCCTGCCTCCCTTGCTTACTTGTGGTAGCTGGTGCAGTGGGCGTAAATGCGGAGCTTGTCACGAATGACTCTGCCTGGCCGGGGTTTCCTCTGGAGACCAGCCACGTGGATAGCCAGGACCTTGGGACCGATCAGGCGCTTGTAGAGGAGGGACAGCCAGTAGTCCTGGAGGGCAGAGGGGACAGTCACCAGCACAACAGTCCCCCCAACTCATAGCAGGAGTGAGCAGGAGAGACTGATAGCTTACAGCCTAGCAAAATTTTGGCTTTTGGGTGAAAATGATGTGTGCCAGATGTCTGCCTTTGGGTGACCTTTTATTGTGCAGTCCAAGCCAAAATGGCATTGCTGTTTCCAGCAAAGAGATTAAGGGAAGAATACATTGCTCTGCCTGCACTGAGAGACACTGATACTCTCTAAAGGAGCTCAGCTTTCAGCCAGGCTGTGGAACTTGGGAAGCAGCATGGATGCTCACACACCTTCCCACACACCTGCACATAGCCGTGCTATGGGCCTGTGCCCTAGCTCCAGCTGAGGCATGTGAGATGGTGGTGTCTCTGGAACAGGCAGGTCACCCTTCTCACCACTCTGCACACAGGGCTGGGGCACACCAGACCCCTCCCATGATCTCCAGCTCTGTTCATGGCATGCTGGCTTTAGCGACTACTGAGAGTGCTCCACCTCTCAGGGGTATTTCTCCTGTTCTAAAACCTCCCATGGAGTTAAGCACCCATAAACACAGCACACAGGGAAGCCAAGCACTCAAGGACTAGGAAATGTTCAGCCCCTGCACACATGCACTAATGATGTAGCCTTTAATTACGTCACCACATACTACTTTTTCCCGCAGGGCACGGCCTCGCTCGGCACACAGGATGGGCCCCAAGCCCCGGGGAGAGAGGCGAGGCTGTGCAGTGACGGAGGCCGCTGCCGGCAGGGCCCCCCCTCATCCGCTGCAGAAGCTGGGAGGTGTGCAGTAAATGAAGCAGGGTTGTGGGAAGGGAAAAGGCAGTTTCAGACGACTGCCTGCTGTTCTGCAGGATGGGGCTCTGGTCCCACTGCTGCTCTGAGCACCCTGGGTGATGCCCGGGAGATGGAGCCTCTTGTGCCGCTTCTCTTGGTGCTGCCTGTGGGTGTGCTGGGCACCAGCTGGGTGCTTGGGCAGCTCTGCACACACAAGCATTCTGGATAAACATTCTCTGTGTCATCCAGACTCACCACTCCAGGGGGAGCATGAGCCCCAGAGCAATTTGGATGATGCCTCCAACCTTTCAGCAATGTTAGACACCCCACAGCAATAATCATGCTGGCACTAGAGACTGCTCTGCTTGGCAGTGTCTGATCTGCATAGTAAGAAGGACCCACTGCTGATGCAGAGCACCCAGTGCACTGCCTGGGGAGGCACAAGGAAAGCCCTACATAGCCAGGATAAGTGTCAGGAGGGACTTGCCACCCCAGAGGGGCATGGAAGGGGGAAATGGGGTCTCCAGGACCCCAGGCTACAGGGCAGGATGAGCAGGTGGAAGTGCAGATCCCTTACACAGGTAAAGGTATCTATCCTGTGGGTGGGAAGCCCTTACACAGCCCCCAATTAACACATTTTGGATGACAAGGCCAGCAGATGAAGCAGACAGCAATGCTGCAACAGCAACCAACATGAGGCAAATACCCACCAAGTACAGATCAGGCTGCAGGTCCCCATCCTCTCTCCAGCCCAGCTCAGCATAATGCTGACCAGTTCTAGCAGTGCTAGACTGGCCTGGCAAAGGGCAATCCAAACCCACTTCCCACTTTCTGGGTAAGCTTCTGCCACAGTGCTGAAGGAAAAGCTCTCCTCTTACTGTTCCCAGCCAAAACCACGGGGCTTTGTGCCACACCAGCCTGGAAACTGCTTTTTCTGCAAACCCTGGACCCCAGAGTAGATGCAACAGGCGGCAGAAGCAGTGCCTGGCACACTGCTGGCTCCCCAGCGAGCCACACTTATTAGCAGGCATCATTAGATGAGTAATTACTTGAATTTACAGCAAGGCCAAAGGTGAGCACAGATTGTAGTGTCTAGCCTCACAGTCATGAGTTAAAAATAAATGAGTTCAGTACTCCAAGCTACCTGTCGGTTTAGGACTTTCTTTCTAGCAGCCCCCTTGGGGTTTCTCACCTTCTCCTCGTATTTCCACTGATTGAAATGGAAATTGCTTTCACCCACAACTTATGGGAGCGATAGAGGCCAGAGACTTTGTAGTCACCTCCAAATTTCCGTATGGATCTCAAGAGCTGTTTTGCAGGGGGTTGCGATGACCTTGTTGTGATGGGGAGCTGGCCTCAGCAGCTCCAGCCTCTGGCAGAGCAGTGGCCCCTCCAGGCAGGGTGGTTCCTGGGGG